GAGCTATTTTGCTTTAAACTCTTGCTTCCTCACATTTATTCTTTGTTGTCTAGAGATGTGGCTCAGTTGTAGAGTTCTATTCTAACTCATACAAGGTTCAAGATTCCATCCCCAGGACTACAACAAACAAGTATTTTCCGGAAATGCCATTTTTCTCTCTTTGTAAGCCCAGAATAAAGGGAGGGTCCACTTTTCCCCCAAAGGAAATTTCTGTTTAATTTCCCATCACCAATATTATCATTAAATACTTTAAAGAGTGTGACTATGTCAACACTATAATTCATGTGACAGATTAGAAAGGTACTATTTTAAACAGTGCTAAACAGGGCTGGAGAGACAGCTCTGCAGTTCAGAGCACCAGATGCTCTTGCAGCAGACCCAAGTTCAGCCCCTAGCATCCACATGGTGGCTAACAACCATCAGTAACTCCAGTTCCAGGAGATCCAATGCCCTTTTCTGACCTCCGAGGGCATTGCATGAAACAGGTACACTTACATACATGCAGCATTCATACACATAAAATAATAATAATAAAAAATAAGTTTTGATTTTAAGATTTGCTTTTTTTATGTGTGTGTTTTGCCTGTATGTATGTACATGTACCTAGAGCCTGCCTGGTGCCCATGGAGCCAGAAGAAGATATACTGGAACTGGAGATACAGGCAGTTGTGAACTGCCATGTGGGTGCTGGGAACTGAACTCCAGTCCTCTGCAAAACCAATAAGTACTTAACCCCTGAACCATCTCTCTAGCCACAGTTCTGATCTTTAAAACTTCAGTACCCTCATATAGTTTCAGCTGTTTTCGTATTCTCTTTATTGTTAATTTATTTAAATAAATCGATCACTAGCATCCATCACAGGTACAATTATATTTGCAAAAGTTGAAGAAATCTTCATACTGCTCTTTTCTACTCCTGCGTCATTGTATCCACAGGCTAATCTGACATAATTGATCGAGAAAAGCTGTGTGGACAAGGAAAACTCTCCAATACGAGCTGATCAATTCCTACACATTGTCTCTCCTAGAAATTACTTGCTTTTTAAGTTATGAATTTTAGTCTAAGACTAAGAACAAACATGTTCCCTTCTAAAAGTTAGAAGACCATATTTCTTAGAATCTTACTTACAAGGTAATGACATAAGACTGATAGGCTAAGGTAGAGACATATATTGCTTGGGATTTAAGAATAGTATATTTGATTGAAAGGAAAACCACATCTTCCATTTCACTTAATATTTTAATAAAAGATCACCAGTTACTTTATAGATAAGTTAATTTTCCATAGTACTTCAGTGAATTAGCTCTGTCTTCTTCTCTCAGTGCTACAGAGTTAACTAGGACGTCAACGAAGCAGGGTCATCCTGACCTGCAAGGTACTTTTGTCTGGTACCAAATATGGTCATTCAGAAACCTGCCCTGGGGTGCTGGAGAGACGGCTCAGTGGCTCAGCGGTTAAGAACACTGGTTGTTCTTGCAGAAGACCCGGGTTTGAATCCCAGCACCCACGTGACAGCTAACAACTGTCCATAACTCCAGTCCCAGGGGATCTGACAGCCTCTTCTGACCACCGCGGGCATTGCATGACATGGGTGCACTTACCTACATGCAGGCAATGCACGCATACACATAAAATAAAAATAATAAATTAGTTGGGCGTGGTGGCGCACGCCTTTAGTCCCAGCACTCAGGAGGCAGAGGCAGGCAGATCACTGTGAGTCAAGGCCAGCCTGATCTACATAGTGAGTTCAGGTCAGCAAGACTACAGGGAGACCCTGTCTCAAAAAGACAAAAATATATAATAATAATAATAATAATAATAAGTTATTTTTAAAAAAGAAACCTGCCCTGGGCTTGATCCTAAGCACCACAAAAATAATATAAATAAATAAATAATAACTGAGCAAAATATACCTTTAAATACCCGATTGTTCTTTCCCTGAGTTTACTGCTAATGCATAAAAACTTTAATTTTTATTTTAGTGCCTTTTGATAAAATTCTGTTTGAAGAGATTATATACTTCAGTAAATACTTTTAAAAGTATTTTGCTTATTATTTTTACTTTATCTGTATGAGTGAGTTGCCTGCATGTATGTAAGTGCACCCATGTCAGGCAGTGCCCACAGAGGTCAGAAGAGGGCATTGAATCCCCTGGAACTGGAGTTACAGATGATTGTTAGCTGCCATGTGGATGCTGGGAACTGAACCTCTGAAAGAGCAGCCAGTGCTACTAAGCACTGAGCTCTGTCCAGCCCCTTCTGTAAATACTTTTTGACGCAGTACACTGAGCCTTATTTAGCTTTTCTGTAAGGCTCAGAGCCATAAGTACCAAACTTACAGCAAGCACAGTGTTACAATATACTGATGTCCCTATGGGGTGAGACGGTACTTGCCCCTCCATTGAATAATGGGTTCATGCCTGGAACCTGGCTTCACCATCTTCCCTCTTGCTGTTGTTTTCTATATTCTCAATGTACCTGCCAGTGGTAGCTTCCCTTTTTACTCAGTTTAATCTGCTGAGGAAGCCAGCCAATTAGGCATGTCAGAATTGTTGCTTGTGAAGTATAAATAGATTCCATTTGACAGTGTGGAATTCCCCAATGTGCATGCAGAACTGGCAGAGTGAACTTTGGCACATCAGCACTGGCTCCTGAAGACACAGGGTTTGGGGGTTTTGTCTTATTTTCTTGGTTTGAGGCTAGGTCCCAAAAATGGGTAAAATGTTAACAGTGTAAAGGTTACCTACAGAACTGAAAGAAAGGCAAAGCTAATGGAATTGTTCATATTCTTTCAGTGTTTGGTGTCTTCATACAAAAGTCAAATCTTCAGCTTTAGAGAGAAAAATCAAGATTTTTTTTACCTGAGTAAAACTGTGTTTTGGAAACAAGTCATGTCTTTGACATAATAAACAGCAAGCATATGAGTGATTCACTGTCTTTGAAAAAGCATTGCAGGCAAGACCATTGATCATGCTTGCAAAACAGATATTACACGTAAAGCAAAGGGTTTAGTCAACACCCATCACTTCTTTCCTTTCCATAGTAATCTAGAGATAAAAACAATGTTGAATTTATAGTCTCACAGTGACTCCTGAAAACTGTGTGTTGTAATAGTGCCTAAGCCCAAATATTCCTCAGTTGTGTTAGTCTTTTAAGTTCCAATAAAACATTGGTTCAACATTTATTCTAGAATAGTGAAGCATGAGGATCAGTCATTTGCTATCAGGAACAGGAATTAGGTATGACCTACAACTTCATAAATACCACATGGCAGATATGTTTTAAGATGTATTTATTTTTATTTTATGTATATGAGTATTTTGTCTGCACGTATGTATGTATGTATACCACATATGTGCCTGGTGCCCACAGAGACCAGAGAGAGCGTTAGATCCCTGAAACTGGAGTTACAGGTGGTCGTAGTCATGTGGGTGTTGGGAAATGAACTCAGATCTTCTGCAAGTGCAGCAAGTGCTCTTAACCACTAAGCTTTCGCTCCAGCCTGTAGATCTCTCACTTAAGGAACAACTAAGCATTTAATTGGTCATGATTTCAGGTTATCTATGAGTCCAATATAATAACCATTTGTTTGAAAAAGATTTTTTTTAAATCTTCTAGAACTAGTGTTCTCTACACTTTATACGTGTTAATGGCCAATTTTTGGAGGTATATACAAAATTTGTGTTGTGTGCACACGCGCGCGCGCGCGCGTGTGTGTGTGTGTGTGTGTGTGTGTGTGTTGAAGCATACACTGACATCAGTAAGAACACAAATTAGATCAGCTGCCAGGCTCAGGATTCAAGATCCTCAATCACTCAATATCAGGACTCAGTTTCATCTTGAACTTCCCCTCGGGGGACTTTTCACAACTTGTTTTTCCCCACCGACATATTATATTGCACAATACCCCAGGATGTTGGACTTTTATGATACATGAAATGTCATTCCTTTTAAAAATATCTATAGGAAAGTTTCTTGGTGATTTTTAAAAATAAGTTTTTTGAAACTAAATTAATTTTCCTAATGTACTAAAACAGAACATGTTTAAGCTTACAATTGAATTAGCATAAATTGAAAATATTTGCTTCTTTCAAACTGGATTTTGGAACAGACGCAGATGTTTCATATGCCGCATGAACTCTTTAAATTACTGTATTAGATGCAGGTGCAATTTATTACAAATCTCAAAAATAAAATAACTCTAAATTGTTTTCTTTCAAAACCCCAAAACTAATCTTAAAACATTGGATCTCTTAAAATTCATTTCCATTTAAAATTTAATACTGTTCAGTAGTGTTTTTTAGGTTACTATCATTCTAATCTAGATGGACATCTGTAAATTGATTAGGATGAATGGAGGAAGTGTGTGTGTGTGTCTGTCTGTCTGTCTTTTTGAGACAGGGTCTCCCTGCAGCCCCAACTGGCCTGGAACTCACTATGTAGACCAGACTGGCCTCAAATTCACAGAGATCAGCCTGCCTCTGCCTCCCAAGTGTTGGGATTAAAGGCGTGCATGACACACCCAGCTTTTCTCATATACTCTTCCTTCAAAAATGACTTGGAACTTTGAGTAAATATAGGCAACACTTTCTCTTTGCTTTTCCTTGAAATTATATATATAATTATCTGGTGACCTACTGGGTATAGGACTTACTGAAGCAAAAATCCTGATAGGGCCATTCTGTTTTCCTTTGCCCGAGGTTTCCTTGTCCCCATTGACAGCCAAATCCATTCCTGTAACTGTGCCATCAGTCATTTCAATCAATTTATCCTCAGTTCTAGACAAACAATGCTGGCCATGCTGTTGATTCTACATAGGAAACATGGCAAATTCATTTAATTCTATGTTACAGTAGAGAAGTTAAATTGCAGTGGACACTGGGTGCCTGGTCCTGGCCCGGGCTCAGGGCCTTGCTCTAAGGCTAGGCATCCCAACAAAAGAATTCTTACTTGCTTGATTTCTATCACAAAGTTCCAGCGCCTTCTTTTTTGTCTTCTAGGTACCAAAGAAGTTGTTGTAAATGTGGATGATGATGGAGTCATTTCCTTGAACTTTGAGTGTGATCAGATGACTCCAAAGTCAGAATTCGTCTGGTCTAAGGATTATGTACCTACTGAGGACTCTCCGCGATTAGACGTCGAAAGTAAAGGCACTAAGTAAGGAGTGTCTTCATCCTAATCATGCATGCCTTTTCACCACAGGAACATAAAGTAAGCTTCTTGCTTTCTATTTGAATTTCTTGGACTAAGAAGATGAAGTCATATGTATTTTATAACTGGTATTATAAAAAGTCAGAACCAATGTAAACCTTAAAATAATTGTCCCTCCAATGTCCCTTCCAAAGTTCTTAAAGCAAAACACATTTGTTTAAAGACAAGACAAACTATAAACTTTTCCTTCAGTTTTTTCACTTAACATGTAAATGTTTGATTGATCTGAGATGATCTCAAGACTAGAGATAAAGCTTACCAACACAATGAACTAGACTATCTATCTGTTTATTAACTTGACATATTATGTTCCAGATAAGCTGCTGGGTGCTAGGGATACAACAGAAAGCAGAGCAGGAACTTAACTCTGAAGGCATAGGGGTTACACTGTGGGGTAATTCAGTACAGTATAAATAGGGAAGTTCAGGGATGACACAGAAGCACCCAGAGTCACCTGCAGCAAGTTCTGCCCTATGGGAGAAAAAAGATTCCCCAGCAAGGGCTAATCAGAAAAATATCTTTTTATGGGATATGTGTTCAATATGCAGCATAGCTTAAGGATAGGAGGTATCTGTACCTGCTTCCCCCTCCCCTCATCCTGTGAGAGGCCAAAAAAGTTTTCCTAGTGGAAATGACATTTAACCTGAGACACCAAGAGCCAGCAATTTTTAGCTCAGCAGGGGGAGAGGACAAGCGTTCCACAATGGAGTGTCACATGCTCAGAGATGGGGAAAACCACAGACCCATAGACCTTGAGTTCTCAGAGATGGGGAGAGTCACAGACCCATAGACTTTGCATAGATTCATTTCCAAGAAAAGTATTTTGTTTTGAAGGACAAAATTGACCTTCAAAGACCTCGGGACAGATGACTTGGGTCTTTATTCTTGTGACGTAACAGACACTGATGGGATAGCATCCAGCTACTTGATAGATGAAGAAGGTAAGCTTAAAAATCAGTTCACTTAAAGTCTAATGTTGCTTTAATGTTTCAGTTATTCTGCAGTGACCTTTGTCTTAGTAGGTTAAGGTTTAATATCTTCTGTTTCTCCTTACAGAAATGAAACGTTTGCTTGCCCTCAGCCAGGAACACAAGTTCCCAAGTAAGTGTCCCCAAAACAGTCACATATTTGAGCAGTTTACTAGAGGACAGCTTCTATGATACATCAAAAGGCAGCTCTGATGGGGTTAAGAGAAGACGCTTAATGCCTAGCTTGGCACGGGCTTGTGATCCCAGGCAAGACCCTGTTTTGAACCTAAGATTTTATTTTTTTTTTTTTTTTGTCTTTTGAGACAGGGTCTCCTTGTAGCACCAGCTGTCCTGGAACTCACTATGTAGACCAGGCTGGCCTTGAACTCAGAGATCCGCCTGCCTCTGCCTCCTGAGTGCTGGGATTAAAGGCGTGTACCACCACCCTGGCCTAAGACTTTTTTTAAAGAGCTAGGGATAAAGGAAGGGAGATCATGAGTTCATAGACCAGTCTAGGCTAGGTAATAGACCCTGTCAAAGGGACAAAGAGAGGGACAGATGGAGGGGGGAGGGCAGAAAGCAAGAAAGAGAGGCTTTTAAGAATGTATATCACAAGCCAGCAGCTAAGAAGCACTTTCTAGAAATGACACTTTTTTCTTTCCCATTGTTCTCCAGAGAAACCAAGATACTAACCTATTAAAAATATCCCATGGAGCTGCGGATGCGGCTCAGGTCATAGAATGTTCACCTAGCATGAACAGAACCCTTGGTTCCCCAGCACCACATAAAGCCAGACATAGTGGCCCATATCTGCAATCCAGCAGTAGAGGCAAGAGGATCAGAAGTTCAAGTCGTCCTGGAATACATAACAGGATAAGGGGTTTGAGGCCAGCCTGTGCTATGTGAAAATCTGACTAAAAAGCAAGCAAGCAAGAGAGAAAGCAGGGATTAAAAAAGGGGAAAGGGAGGGAAGGAAAAGGGAAAAGAAAAAGGACAGAAGAGAAAGAGAAGACACTCCAGGCTCCATTGTACAGAACAGTGCTGCGTACAAAGGCATGAGATCTGAGAAATTAGGTTCTTCATTTTTGGCCACATATTTCGGAATCACATGTGTACCTTCTAAATATGCATTTATAAGCTTTTAGGCAAATCTATAATGTTGGCACTTAATAGAAGACTCTAAGGTCTAAATAAAGACAATCTAAAGACAGAAGCTAACATTTTATATTCTTGGAAAATAGGGTAAGAGTGCTGTGTTCAGCTAAAGAATGCTTCTGAACTATTTACAAGCCCTTAAATAAAGCTCATTCCATATAAAAGATTAAACTCCTCAGTGACACCTAAGAAAAGAGAAAGAAGTCTGAAATAACACTCAGAAGGTTCCATTGGCCTGATAGGATCTCTGGGATGTGTCCAGAAAGGCATACTCTAGAGTTTGAGAAAGCAAGCTAAACAGTCGTAAAATACTCTTCACTCTCTTAAATTAAGCATTTAAAGAACCTGCCAGTCAACAATGATATTTTTCTAAAGACACACCTGTGTCCCTTCCTTTGCCTATCAGATGGTTTAAAAAAATAATTTAAGGGGCTGGAGAGATGGCTCAGCGGTTAAGAGCACTGACTGCTTTTGCAGAAGACCTAGGTTCAATTCCCAACACTTACATGGCAACTAACAACTGTTCATAACTCCAGTTCCAGGGGAACTCAACACCCTCTTCTGACCTCTGAGACGTTGCATGACACAGGTGCACTCACATGCATGCAGACAATACACTTGTACACATAAAATAAAAATAAATTTAAAAAATAAACACTTAAACATCTTTTTTATGAATACAGGAGTTTCATGGTTCTAAATATGGAAGTCTATGAGCCAAACCATGTATATTTGCACATGTGCATTTTTTCTAGGGAGAAGGTCCAGAACTTTCCCTAAGCTCTCATAGGGGCTATGGATTTAAAATGGCTGTTCTGGAACCCACTTCCCCTTCCATGCCCTGGGAATGATTTCTTTGATAACGAGGCAGAGCGCTGATGGCTGTTAGGTGCAGCTGGAC